GGGGGGGTTCCGGGTGGTGAAGATTGCGAGAGACGCCTATGCCTGAATGTCAACGCGACCCGGTCCACCCACTTCCATCCCATCCCAACTGCAAGACAAAAGTATCACACTCACGGCTGACTGAGGCGTTCAGTCATGGCAACACGAGAGTCGTTGTCGACTAGTGACACAGGAGTCAGACAGCCCGGTCAATCCTATCGAATGGAGTGAAAAGGGGTGTGGATGGTCTTCAACAAGGGAAAGTATGTTCCCAAGGCGACGGGTCGCGCACACCCTGAAGATGTCGACGCGGCCGGATCCCGTCCATGCCGCCACCAAACAGACGACAGCCCAACTCCGCGGTAGTCCTATATTACGACTTCCCAGCGTTCTCCGGGACTCACCGAGGCATTACAGTCGGATGGCATTGCGCCGAAGTGGGTTGTTGTGCGAGGGCGAGGCACTGAAGGGGTGTAGACGTGGGGGCGGCGGTCCAGAAGAGAGTGGGAGGGAGGGCGTCCGAGAAGTGCTTTAAATGACACCTCGATCGATAGGTGGGACTACTGCTCTTGCATACGCTGTGCCAGAGACCAGGAACTGAGTCAGGCATGCGCGCATCGGGCCAGATTTACACCCCTTTCTTCGGGGACACCCATAGTCGATCCAAGCCCAATTTACCCCGCACCCCCGGGGACGAGACCCCGCTCCCCTACCGCCTTTCCACCCGATGCATGCGAAAGTAAAACACTTTCTAGACCTTTAAATGCTTGCTCGGGTTGTGAGGCCTCTTCGTTGTGCCTGGTCTATTCTGAACGCTTTGTGGGACCTTACCATGTTCCGTCAGGATGCCAACGCGCCATGCATGGCAGATTGCTGTGTCAGAATATTCAGGTTACAGTAGAGACTCGCGAGTTACGCTCCAGGAGTCCCAGTTCGCGCGGGATTTAAATTAGTAGAAGCCCGACGACAGATCACCGAACCCCCCAGACTGTTTATTCACATCTGAAAATCTTCAATCAATTGGAAACAATGCGCGGTGTGCCCCCGCTACTCGAACCCTTGGAGGGCCCCTTCACCACGGCCGACATATTGGTTGCCGTTAAGGCCACAGTCCACGGTACCTACTACAATAAGCCTGTGGCGCAGGCAACCATTCCTCCGGAGCGCGCGGATGACTTCCTGCAAGACGAGGGCCGCATGTTTACTCCAGCCCTCCTCAAGACCCCTTCCCCACAGGTGCCCGACCCATAAAACAGCGAGCACAGCGGTGCTCCTATCCCGGGTCGTTTGGATCGCCCCCAAACTGCGAGAGGGCCTGGCCTGGCACATGCACCTGAAGCCATTTCGGAAGCTGCGGCACCAGGCCTACGTCGGCAGGGAGCGGGCCATCACCCGGCTGGCGGAGCAGTTCCGCGCGCCCCCCGGCATGACTACCGTCGTGGGCGTGGGCAATTGGTTGGCCCAGGACCCGGGGGGGCATCATGCGGGGGACTCTGCGGGGGCCCTGGATACGCTTCTTGCGGCGCCTGCGGCGGGTGTGCAGGGTGGTGGTGGTTGACGA